TCAGGGCTCGGCTTTCTCTGGGATGGCTTCCCTTATCCACCCAGGTGAGGTCAGGACCCTGTTCTGTACCCCCATAGTACACGCGGACTTTCTCTTTCATGCCAGTCATAACATTTTGCTGAGTTATTTGTTTAATGTCTGTCTTCCTTGCCAGCATATAAGCCCACATATAATTGTCACAGTGATATTCCAAGGGCGGAGCATGGTTTCTGGCACATAGTAGGATCTCAGAGATATTAATTGAATGGATAATTACAGAATGAGATGCAAAGGCCACAGGACGAGGCGGCTCTTCCAAGAGTGCCTAGGTCTACTCAGAACGCATCATTGCTCAGCTGAAGGCACATGTTAATCTCTCCAGACATTGCATGAGGCAGCAGAAGAGGGATGTGGGGGTGGCGTGAACAGGAGCATGGTGGGGAGATTACAGGTCTGATGATGTGGAGGCACAGGAAAGGGTAGGGGGAGTGAGAGAGCGACCTCAGGGGACTGGCTCCTGTGTGATCTTGGGTAAGAAACTTAAACTCCCTGGTCTTCTTCTTCTTTTAACCTATTAAAAGAGTTTTTCTAATTTATAGAGTTTCTCTTAGCTCACATATTCTACAATGCCAGTCATCCGACTAGACCAGGGCTTTTCTATGTCAGAATCACCTGGGGTGCATGTTTCAAAGGTCAACTCCTGAGCACCCCCAGGCCTCTGGGTCAGAATTTGTGTGCATGTGGCTTGGGAATCTATATGTCAACATTCTCCTGGATGATTTTTTTTAAAGCATGTTTGTGAGAGGATGGAGACTGTGTCCACCTTGTTCACTCATGTATCCCAAAAACCTAACCCAAGGCATCACAGAGCCGGGGTGCTCAGTAAGTATTTTCTGATGGGTGAATAAGTGAGTGAGAGAATTTTGTAGTCACAGAAGTGTGGGTATCTTGCTTTGACGAAGGTAGAAGGGAAGAGGGCTGCTGCCTCACTATGGTCTATGGTGGCTTCCTTCCCCGTTCTTGCCAAATTCCCTGTTTATGAAATATGGCGGTGGGAATAAGTGACATACGTGACTTCTTCCTGCCTTAATGATCCACAGCACCATGAATCTATGCTTTCTGTTTCCTCTCGCCTCCCTCCGTGAAAGGTGGAAAAGAATCAAGATGAAAATCAACAACAACCCAGAGATTTGTTGTCAGTTTTAATAGGAGGGGTGGAGTTGAACAGTTTAGAGGAACGTATAAAAAGACCTTGTACTTTTTGCTGGAACATGATATGGTTTGTGCATAGCACATACATATTAAAAAAATAGAAGCATCACATTTTACAAGCACGTGACTGAACAAATTCTGAGTTTTCCTACCCACTCTACCCAAGCTTGAGGACAGCTCTGCACTGGGACCCAGCCTGAGGTACTTATTGATTTATAGAAAGGGAAAACCACATAAGGACACGGCTGTCTGAATGCTGGAATTTCGATAGATCAATGAGGTATACAGACATGGTTCTGTGTTGGCTTTCTGCGTGACGGACTCGATTCTGGATCTGTTTGGGGCGTCATTGCTCCCTCCTCCTGTTCTGGGAGGAGGAAAACCCAACGCAGCTGCAAGTACAGGCTGGAGTATTTCTATCTATTCTTCTGGGCTTGTCCCAAACATTCCTACTTTTGGAGTTTTCCTGGGAGGTAGCAGAACGAGGGGCTGGTTCCTTGCCGGGACGAGCGGGGACCAAAATCAGAGACCTACTTCGCAGGCACTGGCGTGGCAAGTGGCAGAGAATCCCTCCTCAATGACAACGGACCCGAGCCTTTGGGGAAAGCATTGGGATAGGAAGACGCAGGGGTTTTCTAGCTTGTATCCGCATGAAAAGGGGCAGAGGGGACAGAGGGCGGAGAGGACCTCCTGGTACTTGGAGGCCAGTGACCGCATGTGGTAGATATGTTTGCACCGGTGGCTGTGGCGCAAAATGGGCAAAGGCAAAGGACTTACAACACTGGGAGGAAGGGGAACTACAGTGCACGGACTTTTGAATTTGCTTCTTCCCTCAGGACTTGCACAGAATGAGAACTTGAAGGATCTGCAGTCGAGGACAAGAAAGGGCTCCAGAGCCAGCATGGGAAGAAAATTCCAAATTGCCCAGGATAGACTGGGGTCAGGAGAGAATTTCAGGCCTGAGTTTTTGGCCTGGGGAGAAACCTATGTGTCTAAAAAGAAAAGAGGTTTGTAGCCTGGATCAGATGACAAGAGAAAATATTCTCTTTCTTAAGCCGGAGAATGGTCTTGACCAAGGGATTGGAGTGTGTGTGTTTTGGAGGTGTTGTGGGACGTGGTGGCAGAGGGGGAAGGCTGTGAAGTATAATGATAGGGTATTAATTACAAAATTATATGATGCTTTCCAAGGGAGGTTCAAAAGTGTATGGGAAGTGGGAAAGGAAGTGGTGTTAGAAGGCAGCAAATGATTAAATGAACATAATCAACAGCTTGAACAAGGCAGTTGGAGTTTTCTGGTTTCCTCTGAGGTTCATCCATCGCCCTGAAGAGGGTGCAGATTTTGCATGTGCCTGGGGCTCCCCCATTGTTACCGAGCTAACTTCTTCCCAGCTGAGAAGTCTATCTTCAAGGGGGTGCACATATGTTGCTCTCTTCTTTATCATTTGCTCTTGAAAAGGAAATAAGGAAGCCCCTGGGCTCCTGGAACCCCAAGTTTGCGTGGAGCTGCCAAAGAAGGTTCAGGATAGAAGAGAGGCCAATTAGCTACAAAAGCCTATAAACTAGAGTCATAGCTCAGGATTTGGGGGAGGAGCCTTTTGGATCTAATGGGGCTGACAGCTGAATTCAGGACTCAGTAGACATGGTGATCAGAGAGATGACTCTGCACACCCGTGCACAGACATAGTGTCAGAAAAGAAGGGACCGAGAAGCCCTTTGCTGATCTTACTCTGTTCCTGCCCCTTAACCGACTTTTGTGGTTGGGGACTGGCTTTCCTTAAGCCTAAGTCACTTATAGGTTAAAGAGAAAGCCCTTGGGAGAATTCCTTTGGATGGGGAGGATTTCGAAGAGTCAACGATGCATCCCTACATCCAGGGTTGCTATTCAAAATAATTAACCACTACTACAGCAGGGGTCCTGGGACTAGTTAGAACAGACACTCAGCTGCTCGTAGCTGATGCTAGTCGTAGACAATCAGTGTGCTGGTGCAGTTACCTAGTGACTGAATAGCAAGCCTGCCTGATCTAGGCATTTTGTAGCTTCTCTTTCTCACTCCCAGCATGAAAAATGGGAGTGGACGTTTGGGGAAACTCCTTGTCAGGATTTGAACACTTGTATGAGCCTCTCGAGAGATGCAGGAAAGGTCTAGCCGTCCGAGGCCTTGCAACTCTCTTTGGAAGAATGCCCCTCCATGCCAAGTTAGCCCAAAGATCTACAAGACCTACCTCAAAGATCTAGGAAGAAAGGAACTAATAATGCTTTAGGACCTAAAAGTTTTTTCTCCTCTCCAGATCACAGTCCGTCTGTCTACCCAGCCTTCCTACACTCCCTCCATGTTCCATCGGGAGCTGACACACACCTCACGTTCTGAATGCGTCAGTTTCTGATGTACCCTGTTAAAGAGGCAGATTACTCTGGACAAGACTTCCTGAAAAATAATCAAAGCTTTGTCCCCTGCCTCCAAGCAGACCTGCACTTCAAATATTCCCGACAGTCAAGATGGACTAATTTTCTCCCCCTTCCACTTGATCCAAGACTCTAGCTCCTTCCAGTTTCTATCCAAGGCTTGACCATGTCCACTCTTGCCTTTGAGTTCTTACTGTCCAATCTTCGCTCACCTTTGTGTGGCCTTTTCCTCCTCACCCAACACGTGTCCTCCCTGACGTTTGCCGGGCAGAGGAGGTGGCCAGCGTGGTGTCTCTGCCTTGGATTGCCAACCTCCATCTTCAGCTCACAGTCGCTCAGCTCAGATCTATCTATAGATGGACACATCTGCAAATAGAGAGGTATGCTGAAGATGAAGGTATTTGCAGCAGATGAGGGGTTGTCTTGCAGGCAGGGGCCCCTGAGAGTAGCAGAGGGTGTCAGGTCATTTTGTAATTCGATGGTTCACGTATGCCGAAAATATTTGCACTCTGATATGGCTCTCTCTGGTTTCAGATTTAGGAACGTTCCAATGGTTCAGGAATCTGAAGGCTCCAGGCAGACAACATTTATAGTCGCTTGGGGAGCCTCTGCTTTAAATACTCTCAACGGACAGGAGGCAGGAAGACATTGCACAGCAAGGGGCCGCTTCAGCTTGGCTGCTTGATTTCACAGGATTATCACTCTTATTCTACTGTAGGGGGTCAAAGGGGGCAAACTCCAGAGGTCATGGTGCCTATTCTACTGCATCCAGGCACCAGTGTGTATGCGAGATGAGGATAATCAAGAAGGAAGTGAGAGTATCAGATGAGAACTTGGGTGAGTTTCCTGGATGTAGTTGGAGAGGAATTATCATCTCTAGTCCAAAGCCTCTCTACTTCCTTCATGCCCTATTTTGTACCCCCTACCCCTCGCCAAAGAGGTTGCCATTATTAGGATCCTTGTCATCTGAGGTTAAAATAAGACCCAGTTCAAAGTGAGGAAAAGTTATGGGCAAACAGCCTGACCCCTGCTTGTTCTTGGAGCCACACACAGCCCTGAATCCACCAGGCAGAATGGCTCTCCATAAAACATCCAGTCCCTTCTGCTGCTTCCAGCAGGCCTTCCCAACTGCCTGAGACACTGCTCTGCCTCTTTCCTCCAAGAAGGGGATCCCTTCTCCCCCAGCTTCCCTGACAATGCATCCCAGTGTCCCCAGAGGCCTCACAGGAAGGAAGCCTGCCCCCTTTCCTTCTGGTCTGCAGTTAAATCTTACTCCCTCTCACCCTGTGCTCTCTGCACTTACAGACAGCTGCTCCCTGCCACCCGTGCAACCCGTGCAGTTGGTGGCTTCTGAAGGGAAAGATGATTGGAAAGAGGGGCAGAATGGGAGTACACATCAATCCTGTTGGTTTGACAAGTGACATTCTTGCAGGCAGACTCCTGCAGCAATGATGCAGGGAGAAAGAAACCTGATGCTTTGAAATGCCTTTGCTCTGACATTATATATACCAAGATGTATGGATATACAGCAACACACACACATACTTCCACCCTGGCCTTTTCCTGTGCACGTGGTCACATTCCACAACTGTCATCTGCACCTCCTTTCCTTAAGTGAGGTCAGAACATGGGATCCATTGCCATTCTAGGATGCTGGCTGCAACCCCTTTGAGTGGATTAAATGCCATGGGTCCAGTGGCCAAGGGAACCAACTCAGGTCTTCCCAAGCATACGAGAGAAGAGAAGCCTGACTCAGGAGTCATGGCGGGGGTGAGAGGGAAGGAATTGTTCACTTGTGCAAAATCCCAGTAGAAAAGATGCTGCTTTCAACCTGTGAGCTGTCTTTCAGGGTCCTTATATCCTGGGAAGGAAGTGAGTGACGGTCATGATTGGGGACACCTTGCTGCCCCGCTTTACCCGTCCATATTTGCTTAGTGCGATGTAAGTCCCTCGGTACAGGTCTGACTCATAGGCATTGTAGTTGTTGGGCAGGAGGGTTTCTCTGAACTTGCATTCCTCTTGGAAGCTGGGCTGCAAAAGAAATGCACAAACAGCAGAGGCTCAATTATCAATGAGGCACAGCAGCTCCTCTGCCGGGTGCCCCTTCTCTTCCCTTAGTAAGATGACCACCAAGATCTAAGCCATCCTAGCTGAACAGAGTCGTGAGAGGTTAGAACAGGAAGAGACTTCAGAGCTCTCGGGGTCCCCTCTCACCTTCCCTCCTTTATGATGAGGAAACCAAGGCCCAGGGACATAGATGGATGGTCTGTGCCACATGGAGTGGGTCTCCTGACTTCCAGTTCAGGGCACTTTCTACTAAGAACCTGGATGATAATTTATTCCATTCAGAGAAAGGATAAGAAAAGGATAGAATAGACTGTTTTCTCAAGTCCACTGCGAGAGGTAATCTGCCTAGAGCAGGATTGAGGGCCCGGGGTTCTGCTTAGCGGTTTTCCCCTTCCTAGTTGTATGACCTTGGGCAAGCTCCTAGCTCTCAGCCTTGGTTACCTTCTCTGCAGACTGGGTGGTGAGGGGTGGTTGGGGGAGGGTGGAGGCAGATGATTTCCTTAGTCCTCTCCAGCAAAGACTGTCTACTACGCAACGCTCTCTTCCACTTGTGTTTCCTCACTCTGTCTTTCCCAGTTTACATCTCAAGTTTGCTATCCCTTAAAAAGCCCATTCTGGGTTTTGACTTTGAGCCCAGAAGACGCCCAGTGCCTCCTAGACATTCATAGTTCTCCAGGGAAGTGCAGGGACAGAGATGGCGAGGAGCAGGGATTTTTATGGGAAGAAGAACCTGGTTCCCTGTGTGACAGGTGGTGCCATGGAGTCTGGGGCCAGTGATAAATTACCCCCTGCAATGCTAATTTGGTAGGGAAGCGTGTGTGGACCACCTGTTCAGAAAATGAATGCTGGACTTCCTGTCACACATCAACAAGTTCATTCCCAATAAATCACCCAAGTCCTCCTTTATTCCTAGAAAAGAGAGCCCTTTCATCCCCAAGCCTGCCTGGGTTGCCGCCCTGAGGGGAGGCTGGAGGGACTTCTGTGCTTTTGATAGGGAGTAGCTGGGTGGGGTCTAGAGGAAGAGAGAGAGAGGGGAAGGCAGGAGACCTGGGATTGAGTCTTTAAAGAAATAGAGAATGAGACAGAGAGAGATAGGTGGAGTATAATTTCTGACTCCTTCCTGCTGACTGAGGCCATCGGCTATAAAAAACCCGCTCAATGGCCGACTGGCCGTGCCAGAGGTGTCGTCTGACCTTCTCTAAGGAATCGTACTATGAGTGCCCTGGCCTGGCTGGCAGTGGGGGTGGACGAGAGCCTCTTCCTGTTATGAACGGATGGTGATGAGCTAGCTCATCGGGGCTCCCAGCCTCCCAGCGCCCTTTGAGTACACCTGTCAGACAGCGTTTAGAACAGTGTGCGATCCCTATGGACAGGCTCTTCTTTCCCAATAGACTGCAAGTGCCCTGAGACAAGGATTGTGTCTTGTTGGGTACATGATGCTGAATGAATGATGACTTAATAAGGACAACACTGAAACATATGGGTACCCTGGCATGGAGGGCTCCTTTGATGCAGGATGAGAGTGAGCAATGGGGTGGCATGGTCCATGGGAGCCCAGTGAACACCATACCTCCTCCCGCCCTTCACGCTCCGCTGAATGCACTTTCCCCTTTCCCCTCTCATGCCCCTAGTTTACTGTTGACAAAGCACTTACACATAATGTTAATTTGCTTGAGATGAATATGAAAGCTTTCACCAGCCATGTCAACAGCCTCTTTAATACCACACCAGGGAGTGTGAGTTTTCACAAGCTGTTGTTTCCCTTGTTATGGGTGCTCAGTAAGTATTTGCAGAACGAATGAAGGAAGAAACATCCCAAAGGTAGGGAGAATAAGCTAATCAAAGTAAGTAAAGGGCATATTTGTGCAATAGCTTTGAGGTGAGATTGATGATGATTCATCTCTTACTTAGCTATGTGAACTTGGGAAACTTATTTAACCCACTAAGCCTCAGTTCCCTCATCTGTAAAGTGGGAGCAGTAAGAATAATTATATCATAGAACTGGAGTGAGCATGAATTGAAATAATGTGTGGAAAGTCTTTGGTATATAGCCCGGCACACAGTAAAATAAAAAATAATGGTTATTACTATAATTATTCTTCTCCAAATGAATCATGAACTACTTTACATTAAAAGTCCTAAAAGACTTTGTCTTACTCTGGATTGTGATTCTTGCAAAACTTGTTGTGGGTTATTGGACAACTTAGCTTTTAAGCTCTGCAAGTATTGCCTGAAGAACTGGAAGACAGTGAGCTTGCATGAAAAGAGCACACAGAGCTACGATAAGCAGGGGCTGATGCTGCCTCTGGCTCTGCACTCTCCGGGGCCTCTCTGGACTGTGGCTTCTCTACCTGTGCATGGGGTGAAGTCGCAGGAGCTAAGACTGTTGATGGACAAAGTACAGGAGCAACAGTTCTAGGAGAAAATAAACTCAGGATTGATTGTAAAAGTTAAGCAGACATAAAGCTACACTGATTAAAAGTCTGGTGCAGATCAGTGAACAAAATAGACAGTCCAGAAGTAAATCCAAACATATGTGGATACAAAATAAACCTGGATCTGAAATGAATATACAATAAAAATGGAATATAAAATAATCAAATCACTGGAGAAAACATGGTGTTGGAACAACTGGATACTATCTTCTAATAATAATAATAGTAATAAAGTGTAATGTATGACTTTATTCTTCACATTAAAACAAATTCCAAAAGGAGCAAAGAATTAAATGTAAAAAAGAGATTCTTAAAAGTCCAAAAAAAATTTTTTTAAAAATAATGAGCCAGGAAGGTCTTTCTAAGCAGGACACAAAAAACTAGAAGACATTAAAAAAAAACCAACATGAATACATTTAACTGCTGTCTGGAAAAAATTACCTTAAACAAAATAAAAATATAAATAGAAAACTGGATAAAAAATATTCACATTGCATTATATTTTGTAAGATATTTTGCAATATATTGCAGAGAGGACATTTTTTTACTATATTCAGGACCCTTAACTCACTGAAAAATGGGGATTTATGAACAGACAATTCTCAGAAAAGGAAATACAAATAGCATTTAAATGCAAGAACTTATGCCTACCGAGAGAATGTAAATCATAACGGAGAGCTCACATTTGTAATTGTTGGGTTGCAGAGAGAATAACGTTTGATAACATATTTTCATTGGTGAGGGCATGGAAATTAGGAATTCCCATTTGCTGTCCGTTGGTGTGTATATTGTTATAACCTCTATAAAGAGCAATTTGGCAACATCTATTAGAATAAAAAAATGAATATAGTTTTGATTACTAATTCTACTTCTAGGAATTTGTCTTACTGGTACACTCCTGCTCGTGTACAAAGTTACTCACTGAGGCATGATTTATAATAGTAAAAGACTGAGAACAACTCAAGTGTCTGTTAGGAGGGGAGTGGCTAGCTCCTGTGGCGAATCCACACAATGGAATATTATAAGCCACGAGAAGTGAGAAACCTCTTTGTGCACTGACTTCAAATGGTCTCAAAGACATACCGCTCAGTGAAGAAGCAAGGTTCAAAGTGGTGCGTATAGTATGCTGCTATTCATGTGATTTTAAAAAATGATACCACTGCATGCACACACTCAGGGACACGGGTTCTTCCTGGGATGATACACAAGGAACTGGTGGTAACAGTGGCTGCCTCTAGGGAGGGGCTCAGTGGCTTCAAGACAACAGTGAGAGTGAGACTTAAAGTCCGTGGCATATTCTTTTGTACCTTTTTTCCCCCTTAAGCCATGTTCACGTATTACCTAGTCACATAAGTAGACTGTTTAAAATGAGAAAGGAATTCGGGATAGAAGATGGACCAGGGAATGGAGTGAGAAAATGTTTGCATCAGAAACTGGGGGTCTCCTCCTAGTCCTGTCACAGCCCCCTCTCCACCCACCTCTGTTCTAACTTCTACGTCCCTGGAGAGTAACCTGCCTGTCAGTTCCCAGGAGAATTCATTTCTGATCAGGATGGTGGTTGAGGGAGAGGTTCCAAGTGTGGTTTGCAGACTCTAGATAGGACAGCAAATCTTGGGGTGGAGGGTGTGGGGAGAGTAGGGGAAAAGGGAGGCACTGAGCCATTTGGACAAGGAACTCTGAGGGCATTTGCCCATATCCTCCCTTCTAGAATGTGTCTGGATTTAAGAATCCAGCCTTTCCTAAGTGTCTGGGTCTCTTAAAACCTGTTTGTTTAAATGTGCATGATAGGGGTTGTATACAGTGTGCTTTGTTCTCTGCTCATCAGATTTTGATTATTCAAATCCCTTCCCCGTTTTTTTTGGTGATGAAGATTGTCCCTGAGCTAACATCTGTGCCCATCCTCCTCTTTTTGCTTGAGGAAGATTGTCCCTGAACTAGCATCTGTGCCAGTCTTCCTCTACTTTGTATGCGGGCCGCTGCCACAGCATGGCCTGATGAGTTGTGTGTATGTCTGCACTTGGGATCTGAACCTGTGAACCCTAGGCAGCCAAAGTGGAGCATGCGAATTTAACCACTACACTGCCTGGCAGGCCCCCTTCCCTTTTTTTTAAGTTTCTGACTTCTGTTTTTTTTCATTCTGTCTCTTTTCTCTAGTCTATCTCATGTTCCCAGCCTTCCCCAGAGTTCTGTACAGATCTCAAGTGAAAAGAGAAGAATAGATGAAGTTTGCTTTAGAAGCCCTCCCTACCATTCCCTTATCCTGTCCGTTCAACTCCCCCATCCTTGGGGTTCAGGTGGCTACAAGGCCTGTGGCACGAGGCCAAGACCATGCCATTTCCCAGAATTCTTTGATGCAGCCCATGCTTCAGGCTGGTGGGATTTTCTTGCTGTCCAGACCGATGCTCAAGATGAATCAAGACCCAGCCCCCAACTTCATCTCCACTGTCTCCCAGAACTCTGAGGTCTCATGGCTCAGGAATGTTGGCTCCTCAGCTCTGGTGAGAAAAGCACTCACGCCAAGTGAACGCCGTGTTAATATTATACCGTATATTATTACTTGAACAAATGAAAGTAATTCCACTGGATCACATTTCCTGGGCTTGCCAGGCCTTAAGCCCCAGTGTGACAATGTCTTAAATTCCGTGTAGGTCTAATCAGACTTATGTGGAACCAAACTCGAAAGCGTTTATCTCTCACTATGAATAAGGGCATTTTGCAGAGAGGTAGGTATATGGGTGTTTCAGCATGAATTACCTCTGACAGAAGTGCCCTTTCGAGTCTTGTGTGGACCAGACATCCATCCTCTTGTCTTTAGGCAGAGCTAAGTCACCCTGACTGGTGGAGATGTATTCTCGCCTTTAAAGTTCTTCCTCCTAGGGCTGCTGTTGGCCACTGGCCCCTGTTACTCCTGGTTGTGTGTGTGTGCACATGGGGGGGTGGTGTTTAAGGTGAGCAGCGAGGAAAAGAAAGAAAACTCCTTGTCCTAAGACCTTTTCCTTCTGCAGCCCCTGACTGCTCCTTGTTCTCTCCTTAGCTGAAATGGAGAAGCAGCGTGTCCCAGCTCTGAAGAGATCTGTATTTCCTAACCCAGGTTCCTAACACTCAATTGCAATGGCAATTTCAAAGTGTTTGAAAATGTTTTCACCAGGCCTCTCAGTCTTCTCATTCCTGGAGAGCTCTTTGCAGCCAGCAGGCAGCAGACAAAGCCCTCTGTGAGAGCGGTCTGCAGGGCTGTCCAGAACCCTCATCGCAGCACAGGCCTCCCCCTATACTCTGGAGCATCTCCCAGCAAACCTCCACACAGTGCTGACATGGAGGGATCCTTTGTCCCAGTCCCTCAGGAATCCATCTTCTGCTGGATGAGAGGAACAGCTCACTGAGTAAGGCAAAGACTTGGTCCTTCCCTCCCCCAAAGGAATGCCCCGGATAGTAATCAGAGGCCTCTATGGATGCAACAAATCCTGTGTTCTGCACATTGTCATACTGCTATTGATTAAAAGGACGTAGACACAGTTATAATTCGTGAAACTAAAGTCACCTAAAAGCATAACCGAATTCCTAGGAGCTTTTTGTCACTACGTATTTTTCTCAGCCAAAAGATTCTAACAGAACCACTGTCAGGTGGAGATTCTTGATTTTTTAAAAAAATTTTAAAAAGAATCAAGGAGATGGGAATTTACTGATTTCTGCCTCAGTCTACACCGGAGAGAGCAGAGGTTCAGGCCCAGAGGTTAGTGGCTGCCAGAAGTAAGACAAATAGCTGGAGGGCAGGTGGGGCAGGTCCTGGAACGCGAGTCTCAGTCTGTGGATCAAATGCACATCTGCCGGCCTTACCCGCGTTACCTGCAGAGCCCTGCGGCCGCAGTGTCCCACCTGTGACTTGAGGATAAAGATGGAAAGCGCCTCCCAGTGGTCCTGGGGGATAGTGCTCTGTAAAGCGCTCCGCAGGGTGCAGACAAACGGGAGGTGTTCGTTCTGGAGTAGTTATTTATATTGTCTAACTAGGGTGAGGTGCACTGCCGGGAGGCTCTGCACCCCTCTTTCCTGGAGGTGAGACATGGGAGGCCACTTTTCCTAGGTAGGTTTTCCTGGCTCTTAGTCTCTGACCATGGCTTGTCCCCTGTCCCGCCTCAGCATGGGTCCCCTCCTCCCATGAGAAATCCCATTTATGAGCAGTAGCAGCTGAGCCGCAGGGAGAAGGGACAGCTCTGGGGGCTTAAAGGGAGATAGTATGAAAGAAATCACCACCCAGTGGGAGACTTCCTGGCTCTGGGGGTCAGTTGGCAATTGTTTTTTTAGACTGTGATAACGGGCCCCTGAGGGGCAGCGAAGGGAGCCAGTAGAGGGGGTTCAGGGGCAACTGGTGCCCAGCCACACAAAGCACCAGGTGCCAGGCTTGGGGCACAGCTCGGCTGGACTCTGCACTCCGGCCTGCCTGGGCCTGGGCTCCGGGGTGGAGACTCTCCCACCATGGAGAAGGTGCTGTGGGCCAGATGCTCCTGGGGGGCGTGGCGGGGGAAGAAGAAGGTGAAGGGTGGGCAGGTCTTCTCGCAGGAAAGTCTCCCTTTTTCTGGCTCTGTTCATTTAGAAAGCCCTTCAGCTCCTCAGCCTTTGAAGTCATTGCCTGCGAGTGAGGGGCTCGTGGTGTCTCCCACATTCCGAGTCCACCCACACTTCAGAGAGATACCTCCCTTCTTCTCGCTGGAGGAGCGCTTCACCCTTTGCGGGCTTCCTCTGATGGTTAAATCTCATATTCTCAGCCTCCCCTGCTTCTGCCACCAGGAGCAGAAGGTTTTAAGTGGGAAGTAGGTAAATTTACTTTATGTTTGTGCCCTTTCCCCTCCTCCTGGTTGAATTCCTTTCTGGGTAAGGAGAAAGAAATACTAAATAGCTGGTACTAAAGGTGGCAAAGATAAGAGTTTCTGTAATTTGTGCTTTCTTCCAGGATATTCACCTGCTAAAGAATCCCTTGCATAGAGTCCCACAGCCAACAACCCCCATTCCTGGCTCTCCAATCAGTGGGATTCCAGGTATTGCTCAGGCTGGTGAGAAGGGGCTCTGAGATGACTCACTCCACAGAGAGGGTACCACTCCACCCAAGCCCAGGTTGGCCCCAGCTGCCTCCTGTCCTCTCCATCACCTTTGCAGGGAGTGGTAAAAAGGGTGTCTGAGAACTCCAGTATCACCTCAGTGTCATCTCCCCAGCCCTCCTGCTCTCAGGCTAGTGTAACTCCAGAGGCAGTGTAGCCCGGTGGTCCCCACACCTGCCTGTGCCTCAGAAATACCTGACAAACTTAAAAAACAAAAACAAACCGATTTGCAAGCTCCCATCCCAGCCCTACTGAATGAGCATCTCTTAAGAAGGTACCTGGAAATCTGTACATTTAACAAGTTATCAAGGTGGTGTGGATGCAAATCTCCTCCCACAAGTCTCATCTCTAGGAAAGAGGGGTGTAGAGCCTCATGGCAGTGCACCTAACCCTCCTTAACCAATATAAAAAGCTGACCCATATTGAGCACCTACTGTTTGTCAGGTGCCCTGTAGAGTGCTTTTCCCCACCAATGTAAGCATTATGCCCCCAGCACCCCTGGAAGGTGCATTTGATCTTTATCCTCACTTTATAGAAGGGATACTGCATCTGCAAGGTCTCGTGTCAATCACAACTGTGTGCAGACTGGCCTCAAGGCTCTGCGGGTAATGCACATAAGGTCCACAACAGAAGCATGTTTGGTGTACAGACTGGGCCCTGATTCCAGCAGCTGGCTCCACCTACCCTCCAGCTACTTGTCTTAGTTTGTAGACCCACTGATTTTAATCCATGCCCTATCTCCATGTACACCAACCCAGACTGAGAAGTGTTAGCGCTAAAGATCACAGAGGCCACCTGGGCACCCCCTTTAGGTATTTATCAGATCTCCTCTGTTTGGATAGCCTCCCCGGAACCTGGCACCAATCCCAGATCTCTCTGTTCACTTCCTGATCCTCAGTCTGTCTCCAAGGAGAGGTAGAACAGCCCTACACACCCTCCCCATAAATAACTCTGGTATTCCTGTCGGTTGCTCAGAGGTCTTCCTTTTTAGATTACTTACTTCCATCAAAAGAACTCTCAGTTTCTTCAACTTCATAGGGACATTTTCTCAGCCCATATTTTGGAATAAGCCAAATCATGGACGAAGAGACCCAGAAACAAGAGGTCAGAGAGAGCAGAGGTTTTGGTAAATGTGCTTAGAAGCTGGCTAGGTTAACCAAAGTGCTAGCGTTTGCACTCCGAGGGCTGATCTGTGATGGGGAGGAAGGCGGGTGGGGTCTGCTGCCGGCCAAGGGGTTACAATGGGGGGATGCTTCTCCAGCCCATGCTATCAAAGATCAGAGGACTTACAACCTTAAGGTAAACTTTCAACACCCTGATGAAGGTGAGGAAGATAGCCTCCATTTCTCCTCCTACTGCACGCTGGGCCAGGGACGCCTCTGGGAGGGTGGGTCATGGAGAATAGCACACCCAGGTTTGCTTCTCTGGGCCTCTCTGTAAGCCTGGAGGACAGCTTTAGGCCAGAATGCAGGTTTCCCTTGGACCCAATAGACCTCTGGGCTATGGTTCCTGTTTAATTACAAGGCTCTGGCAGGTAGGACCAGGAAAGACACAGTCCAGTGCAGAGGCCAGTTAACTGTGATGCTAACCAACCCCACATGTGCACTGGCTCCTTCCCAGCCCCCTCTTTTCTCATTCTAGATAAATAGTCACTTCTCTACTCAAGATTTTGTATCATTTTCTTCAACTGTGTAAGCTTCAGGCCTCGTACCACCGTGAGCTTCCCCTGGCCTGATGAACTCACCGTTGTGTATAATCTTCCTTTACTGTTCATGGCAACGAAGAGGGCACTTTTCACTCCAAAGAGACTCACCACGCCTCGCTCCACTGTGGAAATCTCCAGCAGGCCTGGCAAAGAAATGGGGGCCGTGTTACATAAGGCTTGTGCAAATCACAGTGAGATGTCACCCTGATGGTGACCCTAGAGAGGCGTCTAAGCCCATACCTCTTCTCCTAGAAAGTCAGAACCTCCATCACCTCTATCTCTGGTCCCTCTAATTTTAGGAAATCTCATCTGCTAGACTCATCAGGCCCGGACACTCTACTGTTAAAAATCCAGTTCTGCGAGGGAAAGCTCTGACATCAGAATTAGGATCACAGTGGCTACTTAGGTATCTACTTAAGATTAGCTTTGAATCTAACCCAGGGCTTTTGCTGACTTAATCACATGAGGTCCCTGACATGGGTAAAAAAATGAATTCTGATTAGTTTTCTTAAATGTATACTCAACATGTTTCAACAAATTTCAGCTTGTCTAATCTTGCAAACACTGCAGCCACATAGAGGCTGTTGGCTTGTCTGAATCCTGCAGCCCCCGTCCTCTCTTGGATGGGAGAACCTATCTATGCAGCAACCCATCAACTTGTAGAACAAGGACTTGGGGACCGAGGGGGCAGGTTGAAATAAAAAGAAGGATGTGCTTCAGCTGGAAATTTTGCAAACCACTTGCCTTTCCTTCTCAAAGAGGGAAGCTAAATAGAAATAAACTTATGTCTGATGTGGGCCAAGTATCGTCACTCATTCTCCCCATCCTTGCCTTCTGGCTTCCCAGGCTGATGGTCTTATATGGCCATGGATAGGCCCATAACGCTGAGGTAATTAGTGCCACAGGAGTTCTGTGGGACAATAGCAAAGGACACCAGGATGCTTGGGCCTCAACATGCTGAGCCTGCACCTAGGCAGCGTCAGAGAATCTGGGGGTGGCTATGCTTACGGGCATCCAAGTGGAGAATAACATTTCTCCCCCCTTTATAATAGGACTCCATGCACCAGAGCAAGGCCCCTTCATCTTCCAGCCCTGCTTGAGCCCAAGCCCCCAGCTTCCCAACTGGCTGCAGCTGGCACTCACTGTAGGGGTTCTCCTCGTGGGTCCCGCTGATCCGGCCGTCGGGGGGCACCTGGAGGTGAAAGCCGATGCCCACGTTGCAGTAGAGCCTCCGCTGCCGCTTGATCCCCACCAAATAGCCACTTTCCCAATTCACCCCGGCAATCTCTCCAGCCAGCCCAGCGCGAGACCTGGACAGCAGGGTGCCCCAGCCCCTCGAGTCCAGCAGCGTGCTGTTGGCGCGGGTGCCCGCAGGCGAGGGCACCACCATGCCCACTAGGACGCCTAGGAAGACGAGAGCCTGCAGCGTACCCTGAAGACGTCCTGCTCCCCGGGACATAGTGATGAACAGCCTCTGTCCCAGGGCCATCCACCTTGCCTCTCAGGCACGTGGTCAGAATTAATGGCCCTAAAAATACCGCCCTTCTTGTTTTTCTCCCCTCGGCATGGCGGCAGGGGCTTATTTTTGGAAGGCAGATGAAGGCTGCTGACATGAAACCAAAGCCTGCTTCGGGCACTCGGGTCGGGAGCAGAGGGACCCAGGCTGAGCCGCGGCTGGTAGGGACCATGGCTCTAGCTCGTCCGCTTGCTCCGTCCCGAGTTGGTTATATTTGATTTGACCTATCTTTATAGTTCAGCAGCCCAGCCCTCCCCTCCACCCATCATCACCCTGACGTCAACTGGCCCAGCTCACTTATCCAGGGCTGTAACATTAACCTGCTCCTGGGCCTGGCTGCCTCCCCAGACCCCCATCACCCTCCCCACACCCCAAGGACTCTGGGAGCCACTGTCATTCCAACTATGAGGCAGGAATGAAGTGAGCAGGGAGCATCTCTGAGGGAGGGAGGAGTTGGCTGGGGGCCCAGGGGAAAAGGGAGGCGAGAGGCCACCCAGGACCCAAATTGGGCAGAAGTTCTTGGCCTGGCAGCACTGCCTTCCTTATTTAGAGGGCAAAGGGTAAAGTCAGGCATAGGGAAGGCTTGCTGGCAGGTGGCGACTGGGGCCTATGAGTTACCTAGAGACTGTTCATGGAAAGAGCTCACGGTTGAGGGCAAGAGAGGTCCGGGAGACACTGAAAGGCCAAACCCTTTTAGCAGGAGAGGACAGAAATGGGGGAGGGCTTGTCTAAAGAGCTTCAGGATTGTGGGGGAGGGAGGGCTAGGGTCAGGCTTCTGCTCACCCACCTGGCCATGGCATTCTCTCAGCCAATGGGGTAGAAGTTGTGTCTGGCCCTCGACAGAGCTCACTGGTAATTCTCCTACCTGCGCTCATCCTTGGCATCTCACTGACATCATTCCCACATTACAGAGGAGGAAGCTGAGGTGTAGAGAGCTTAAGTGACTTGCCTAAGTTACCATAGCTAATAAGTGGCCAAGCCAGAACTTATAAATTCAGCCAGAGGCCAAAGCCTGTGCTTTTAACCTCTGCATGATTGCCTGTAGTAGGAGTTAGATTTCTAGGCTGACCCACAGTCTGTTGGTCTCATTACATGACAAGAGTACATCGTAGAATTATTTCAACAGCACAAAATGATTCACGCACGTACCCATGTTAGAGGCTGCAGGCAGCCCGGGAAAAGCTCTTAGGACAAGTCCCACTGCTCAGGGACTCTTCCAAGACACCACTCCCTCCCCTCTGATTCCCAGCTTCCCACTCATGCCTGGGTCCCAGCTTCCAGTCTATGGCTTCTGCCTGCCTTCTGCATCCTTGCCTAGTTCATTTGGATCGATGCTTTGGTTAGGATTTCTGTCAAACCTCACATTTCAGTTCTGCCCTAGGTCTGCCCTGAGAGATCAGATCCCGTGAAGCCCAGACATCTTCTGTTATGACCTGCAGCTGGTAAAATGAGTGGGAGGGATACATGTACCTCCGCTGCATCCCCGTCACCATTGGGTCCCCCAGTCTCTCGACCATCTTTCCTCTCCCTGTCGCCTCCATTGCCTCAGGCCCAGCATTATCATCGCCAGCACCACCATTTCCCACAACAAGGAAAGACTGGCACCTTGTGGGCACAAATTGAGTCTACTATGTGGGCTTTTGTTGGAAAATTGGTAATAATAATAATAACAATAATAAAAGCATCTCTCTGTAGAGTAGGAGGGTTATGAATAATCCAAAGACAAAATTGTCAAAAAACGACTTTCACTTTGGATTTCCAGCTTGATTTCTTATGTTTCCGCTTTCATATATGCAAGAGCAGTAGGGACACTCTTTTTTTATATTACTTTATTGGTTTATAACATTATGTAAATTTCAGGTGTGCATCATTATATTTCAGCTTCTGTATAGACTGCATTGTGTTCACCACTAAAAGTCTAGTTTCCGTCCAACACATACATATGTGTCCCTTTACCCCTTTGCCCTCCCCCCACCCGCTTCTCCTCTGGTAACAACCAATCTGTTCTCCCTATTTAAGTGTTCATTTGTTTATCTTCCACCTATGAGTGAAATCATACTGTATTTGTCTTAGATGTGGAAGCAACCCATGTGCCCATCAACAGACGAATGCATAAAGAAGATGTGGTTATATATACAATGGAATACTGCTCAGCCATAAAAGAGAGATGAAATCGTGCCGTTTGTGACAACATGGATGGACCTTGAGGGTATTATGCTAAGTGAAATAAGTCAGACAGAGAGACGCTCTCTTAATGATGTTCACTTTGGAATCCGTGTTAATTATGCTTGCTGTACTGACTTAGGGAAGGGCAGCCCAGAAACATGTTGGATAGTAAGAAGTTAGTCTGAAATTAACACTTGCCTTGGCTCATTAGAGAGGCACTCATCAGCAGAGGTCAGAATCTTTGTGGAATTCTTCTTGGAACCCATCCACTTTGGGACTGCCTTAGAGGAGAGATGAAACTATTACAAGGTCTATGCTATATATCGATACAAATGGTGAATCTCTTTAGATTCACCTCATCCCAGATTCTTTGTGCAGAGATTTTGGCTGGTGTCTTATAAAACAATAGGCTTTGGAATGGAGGACACCTGGATTTGAATCCCACCTCCACTACTTATTAGCTCTGTGACCTTGGGAAAATTTTGAATCTCTCTGAGCGTCATTTTTTTCATCTGCAAAATGAGACCATTAATACAAAGGGTTGTTATAGGGATTAGCAATAATATAGGCAAAGGGCCCAGTGCAGAGCATAATATAGCTCTTCCTCAGTCCTTTCCCTGAAACATGTTGAAAGTCTCTCACTCGGTTAAAGGAGGACAGTCCCAAAGTGAGAAGGACCATCTCTCATCTCAAGGGCTGGGAGAGACCTATGGGCTTCCAGTTCTTAACTGCTGGCTACAAGAGCATGTGTTGTGATGGTTGTTAACATATGCAGAAGCAGGCAGCCCAGATTCCTAAAATATTCTGAAAACCAGTAATAGCCTTGGTATCATCCCCTGTTAAATATAAAACTTAAGTAATTCATTCTATTAAAAAGCCTGTGTCTTATTTTTGTCGAGTGATGTGATGAGGCCCTGTTCTAAATGCGCCTCCTGGGCCTGTCTCTATAGCAACTCCACTGTGCTCATATATCCATATATTTTGCCTGAAGGCTAATTAAGTTGACAACTGCTAGGGCTTCTTGGTTTACCAGATTTGCACTTGACCCTTCCCTTGGGGCTTAGGGACCCCTAAGGATGTGAAGTGATGAAGAAAAGAGTAACAGGTGGAAGAGGCCTCTCTGTGGACCCCTCATTCAAATAGTTTCCCAGCAGCCTTTGGGGGATGTCAATCACTCTCTCTGGATGAGCCAAGAGTTAGCGGAGGTGAATGGGTAAAAATGTTAGTGTCCATCTCCTTCCACAACAGGGTCCTTGTCCCTGAGTGGGGTACCATGGAGTATAGGTTGGTCAAATTTGGCATATCACCTGCATGGGGGAACTACCTGTCACAATGAGGCAGATGGCCTTCTATGACTCCTGTTTACTACATAATAAAGTTCAAACACCTCAGGAGTGACCATAAAGGAGAGCACATAAAGCTCATGTAGATCGTGCAAAGCTGTGTTTACTTGTACTTTTTATATTTGGTTTTGAAAAAGTAACATTTGTCTTTTTGTATAGATCATTTGGGTAGAAAATAAAATAGCTGTTTGTGTTTAGTGTCTTTCTGTCTTTTGTCTCAGTCTTTCTTTGAACTACCTTGGCACAAGGGCATGGCAGCCTCCCTCTGTCTTGCCCTCCGTCTTGCTCACACAGGCACCCGTACACCTACACCTGGTGTTTAGAGGTAGTTTGCTCAGGGGACTTGATGGGTATGAGATGGGCGTGTGCGGAGGGGAGGGACTGGGAGGGAACCCTGCACTAGATCTGAGCAATGAGGGGCTTTTAGGGCTCATGAAATTTGCTACAAGTGGGAGGATTTAAGAGAAAAAGTTTCTACCAGAACAAAAGTCTCCAGGTTGGACTTCTGTGGGAAGAGTCAGATATTATCTTACTAGCTGATCTGTGGAGGAATCCATACTTTGCAGTTTCCTAGTGAACTCAGCTTTCCCCAGGTCTCACCCACAGACGTGGAAGCCCATCAGCAGTCACAATCTCGATTTCCCTAGTTCTTGCCTCTGGCAGCTCATGAGGAACTTCGCCAACCGTAAATTGCCCCCTAGTTATTCTGGAGTTCCTGAGCACGTCTCCCCTGTGTCTGTGAACACGTGACTGCTCCCGCCTGGGCCCATGGCAGAGAGTCTGCAGGGACCTCCCTGCCCACTAGCCTTCCACCTCCTGCTGGGGAGCCAGCGACGGGTATTACTTTTCCCGCAATAGCTCAGGACCTGAAGCCCTCAAGGAGCCAAAGCTGCTTTATGCTGTGTTTCAAAGCAAGGACGAATATCTAGCCCCCTTCCTCACAGTTGTGCTTGTTAAAGGAACGTCTGGCCAGAACTACTTGTCCCCTGGTGATTTACTCATTGGGATTTTGTTTTCAGACTCCTTGCCTGCAAAGGACTCAATCTTTGTTATGGGTCAAGCTCAACAGGTCGAATTCCCTTTTCCTTCAGGATGGATTCTTTCTCAGGAGGCTCCTCAACTCTCAGGCAAATAGCCTTCTCTGAGGCCAGCCCACCAGCTGTGTAGACATGTCTGACTCCTGGCGTAAGTCGGACAGGAGACCCTGCTCCACCCCCAACAGTCCCTCCATTGGGACTCAGCTTTGTGGCCTGATTGTCCAAGAATTTGCAGAGTCTGCTGGGAGGAAGCCATATCATCCTCAAGAAATCATCTTCTTGGTTAAAGGGCTTTGTGATCTGTCCCTTTAATCTGAGCCCCCATCTTGCTGTGTCTCTCTGTGTGACTTCCCATCTCCCAGCTCTCTGTCTCACTCACTCTCCCTTTGCCCCACTCTCTCCCCTCTCCCACTTACTATTCTGCAGTGTGTATATATAAGCCTAGAGGGTTAGCCAACTGCCAAGGAGGCAGCACCTCAGGGTTGGCTGACCACCATGGCCACACATCTCAGCTGAATTTGCAAAGGGGCAGAGGAGTCAGATAACTTTCTGGAGCCTCAGAACATAAGGGATTTTGGCTCTGCTCAGAGTTTTGCGGTTTCTCAGATTTGCCTT